ATTTGCATTTGGATCGCAGTGCTTTTAACTTTTTGGAGTCTCATGCAACATTGGGTGTTTGTTAATAAACTCTTCCATGCATGTAAAAGCAAGCCGCACATGGAGGGGAAGAAAACATCAGTGGACTAGTTCTAAGTATCCTCTCTCTACTCTAGTATCTTCATTCACCTGCCATGCACCTGTGTCCTTAAAATAGAATTGCACAAACCCTTTTGGACTTAGGGTAGTAGATCTAAATTTATCCACAGTATCTCTTAGAATAAAGACAGAACTATCAGGGCTGAGGCAGCAGGGACGGCCATAGTGGAAACACTGTAGATGGGACACACTCTCAGCCCAGAAATAAGCCGTGACCCTGCTTCGGGTTTATTGTGATACTTAATGTGCTGAGTAAATTAACTGCCGTTAATTCACACAACCCTATCTCGGAAATCTAAAATCGCTCTGACCTTAATACCTCATGGGTGATGATTATGAAAGACTCTCTGAACTGTAAGCAAGAGGCAGCTATGGGCTCTGACTGTCATCTTCTACTGTCCTGTCACGCTGTCTTAATCAGCAAAGGGAAAAGAAAATTGACAGCTGCTTGATATCAACCATATTTTAGGGATTCAGAAACATAAATACATATGATAGTCATTATGGGATACATGACAGATTGACAGTTTGTCACAGTTATACATCCAGACCCTTTCCGAGTGACAGAAGGCAGATATTGTATGAATATGTGACTGAGTCCAGTGCATTTTAAGTTTCCCATTTCAGCACATGTACTTTTAAAGGAACTGCACTTACTAATAACAAGTGTAACTGGGATACAGCAAGTGCCAGGCTGGATTGCGGGTTGAATTTATAAAATCGGCATTAATTTTGTCCTTTTTTGAAGTTTGTCCTACATCATCCACACTAATGACAGCTCAAAAAAATACTACAAATCTACTAAAGCTGTGATTATTGTTTATACCATCTTCATTTCATGTATTAGATCCACAGCATATTCTTGCTAGTAAGCTAATTTACAGAATAAGCAGAATTAACATTGCAGGTCCAGAGGTGTCATTTGAAGCAACTGATGATAGATTTAATTTAACTCACTTTATCATAATTCCTTTTATATGCAATTATGCCAACTGCTGATAGCTGTGTGGGTGTATATGTTGTTGGCAAGGTATCTGCTACTTGTTTGTTACTTGTTTAGCAAAACGGCGTCTTTGTTAGGTTGCTGTGGGATGTTCCCCTTACGTCTAAACTACATGGAGCACCATATTGCTTTGGAAACTTACTGGAAACCTGCGTTGTTGGCATTGATACGTGGCACGAGCTATGCATGTTCAACATTAAATATTTAGTTGATGAGGGATAGAGTTAAATTTCACAGCGCATAATTTTTACATCTAAGGTGTGATGCTGTTAAAACCTTGAAAGATTTCGAGAAAATATGCAATGCCAAGATGTTTTCACTACTTTCTATGGAGAGTAGACAGCCAGTATTATCCTGCTGGATCTACTAGACACTAGTTTTTATTTTCCATAGACTTATGTAAGATGATAAGAAATGCATTTTTCTTTGGCAGAGGAAAATGTCTTGATAATGTAATATAATCTAATGTGAATATTTTCAGTAATGGTAACTTAAACTCAATGATAATCCTGAAATGTGATTTACTAGGAGTTGGAAACACTGATTCACTTTGAGTGCTGTATGTAACTCTGGAGAAAGATAGTTGATCGTTAAGTCTCATTTGCCAAGTCAGCAAATATCGACACTTTGGGTAGGTGGGTCGGTATTTGATGACCTGGAAATAAGAGTTATATACAGCACCCTTAAGTATCACATTAAATCACATCAGTATAAAAAAACAAAGCCAAGAAAACAGAAAATGGAAGACCTTCAGTAGCAGTTCAAATTCAGTCAGAATAAACTCCCCGCTAGGTCAGAAAACTTTCTGTTACTGCTGTTACACAGGTAAGACCTAGCCTGCTACAGTCTCTGGTACTGAGGAGCTGCTACAACGGCAACTGAGGGTCCATCTTCAGAGCTACTGCTTGCTCTCCTCCCTTTGAATAGTTCCCATGGTGAGAGGTAGTGAGGTGGAGGGGCTATGGGGTGCGCTAGCTTGCTAATTCTTGTTTCATTTGTAGTCTGAAGGAAAGGGACATGCAGCTCTTTGATTACGTATATAAGATTTTACCCATTTAAATACTGAAAAAAAAAATTTGATAATGTGGCAGCCACCACAAATAAATCATTGTCTGGGAAAGACTGCACTAGCTTGCTAATTCTTGTTTCATTTGTGGTCTGATGAACAGAGAAAGAACGAAAGGGGCAAGGAGGGGCTGGGCAAATCAATACACAGCACGCAGCTCTACGATTAAATATGATTTAACCCATTAAAATAGTAAAAAGAAAAAGACATAGAAAATAAACATATGGCTGTCAATGTTGATAACGTGGCAGCCACCACAAATAAATCATTATACGGGAAAGACTGCACTAGCTTGCTACTTCTTGTTTCATTTGTGGTCTGATCAACACAAGATATCAAGCAGCTGTCAATCAATACTCAGCATGCAGCTCCCCAATTAAATATAATTCAACCCATTTAATTAGTAAAAAACAAAGACATAGAAAATAAATATATGGCAGTCAATGCTGATGATGCGTCAGCCACCACAAATAAGTCAATGTATGGGAAAGACTGCACTAGCTTGATGTGCAGGCAAGCTAGCAAGCTAGCAGTTTAAGATTACTTCAGAAAATTATGTAATTTTTATTCATTATATTGTGTACAGTATGTGCATTTTACTAAGTAGGTATATTTCATATAGCACCTTTCACAGAGCAAAGTTACAAAGTGCTTGACGGAATAAAATTGTTAACAAATGAAACCATAAAAACATTTCTTATGGCCCACTATTTGGAAAAAATAAAAGTTAACAAATTGTGATTAATAGTAATAATGACTCGCAATACATGTAGAATTGCAATACTTAAAAACTGCAATAAATATCGAATTGGCACGCAAGTCATGATAGTATCGAATCAAGATAAAAGCATATCGTCTCAGCCCTTTAATTTACCGTAATGCCCCATGTACCAGTGTCCACGTCCATCAAACACATATAGGAGAAAGATAAATTAGTATTAAAATATGTTCTTGTACAGTTGTGGTTAGAAACGTAAAAACAGGCAATTTAAAAAGATTAATTGTAGTTGGGCCTGAATTTGTGATTATATGATGAATTTCATCTCCCACCTAAAATGTTTGAGGTGAGTAAAAGGAACAGTAAACACCATTTGACATAATAGACAACCCTCACTGTGACACTAAAACACTTCCACCTGTCCTGACCACAACACCATGATCCTGGGCCTACATCCTGAGCCTAATTACTGACTGATGGAGCTACATGGCAAGACATTTGTAACAAAATGTCTTGTACTTACACTTGAGGGTGGATGCTGTGATACCTTTGTGTCAGTAATTGACTGTGCACTGGGGTTAATGTATGGTGATGCAATCAGACATCACTACACATAGTAACTGTCAATGAGTCACAAAGTAGCATAGATTACTGAAAGCATGCTAGAGGCCTTGAAAGATGTCTTATGTAAGAGGTCTCATACATGAATCACAATGACTCCCAATGCATCTTACCGGGCAAAAGCTGTCTTTTAATTTTAATACAATGCACAGGACTGGTGTATAATGTATTTAAAAAGATAACATATGTTGCTGTCACAGGTTTGAGCCCCAGATATTACCTTTGCAGAAGTGTTTACACACTGAGCTCACATTCGCCCTTGTTATGATTATCCAAAAAGCACTTCACATCTCGATTTCATTATGTTTCAACCACTCATGCACAACTTAAAATCCATAACCTGCCCGTACATCTCAATTCTGGATGCAATTCAATAGGACAAGGTGCAGTGTTTACTCAAGCATATTGCGAGCACTACTTGTGCATACAATTAGAAAATACACAGGCCTGACAACGTAGGCTGGGCAGGGAGCCCTGAGGTTGCGATCACCATGACAGTGATTGAACGTCGTCTGATTTATCTGCCTCCATTTTTCACCCTCCAGCAGCACAAGACGAAAGCGACGCGAGGAGCCTAACCATCCTTCCTCTTGACTTCTCTCATCTTAGTGCACGAGAATAATGTCTTGACAGGGAGGGGGGCAACCAAACAGCTTCTCTCAACAAACTCGAATCTGCACCTCAGTTCAAGCTGAAATGCCTTTTGCCTGTGTGTGCAAGACCAGGATGAGTCCATATGTGTTATCTTTGTCCTTATTGTGCCTTTACACTCTCTGTGTGATTGTCTGCCATTTTGAAATGTATTTTTTTTTTATTTGGAATACATGGGAATACCCTCATCTAGTCCTAAGTTTCCTTTATAATAAAGCATAAAGCTATTCCAGCTCATCCACATCCAACACCTGCCTTCAATAATGAGGCTTTGGCTCTTAGAATAGACTTGATCCTTAAAGACAGCTTTAGCACAGACTATATGTAGCCTTAGCTTCAAGCAAATTAGCCTGCCACTATGCTATTTCTAACGCTGGGCAGATTGTGTGAGATGCTGCTCTCTGTATAGAAATAGCCGGTGTTAAATCAAATGGTTTCTACAGCCGGATATTTAAGGCAGTATGTGGCTGTTTGTCGCTTTTGTTTTCTGTGGTAAAATAAACAGTGAAGTCCGAAATCTCCCTGTGATGCGATGCATGTGTCGCTGTGGCTATGTAAAAAAAAAATATTATCACACTCCCATGTCGAGGCGCAGTTTAAGGTGTGATTTATCCGCTACATGCATTGGTTTTCTACTAAATCTAAATTCCTTCAGCTACATAATAGCTCAGGATCCCTCTAAAAGCAGGCTTGTGTTGGCTTTACATGGGAGGCACCGCTATATAAATTAAAAAACACGCTCCCCAATAAAGCCGACATGTAATAATGGCTTGGATGGGAAATATGAGGCGGTAATATCTTACCTTGAAGGAAGATTGACGACGATAAACACCCAGAGAAACAGCTTCAGGGGGAGGGAAGCCTTCGCCATTGCTGTCGAGCATTTGGAGGCTAAATTTGGTGGAGCCATCATCACCATCTTCGTTTCCTCTTTATTGCAGATGGACGTGTCCGTCTTATTTACTGTGTTTCCTCTCTACGATACATTACGCACGTTAGCGGGAGCGGGTCTGCAAATCTAGACCCGAGGCGGACGTGCGGTGGTGTGAAATCAGCCAAAACAAAATCGATGCGAGTGGAAAGCTTGATGATTTCGCGTCGCTTGGTTTTTTTTTCTTTTTTTTTTCTGTTCTGTGCGTGTCAGTTGCCCAATCGTCAGCCCTAAACAGGGGCCCTGCAAAAACTGCCGCTGACGGCGAAGCTTCCCCCCCTGTAATATGCTACTCTTAATATCGAGCAGCTGAAAAAAAGAAAAAAAAACACACACTCACACACACACACACAGTGGAGCCTCAGTCTGAATGCAGATTAACACTGGGGTCAGAGAGGAACTGATGCACGTTGCTGCAGCACGGATCAACACATGCGTGGTTTCACCAAGCGGAAGCAGGGCTGCAACTGAGTAAGGGGGGGGGCTTAGCTTGGTGCTACAACAAAAATGGTGGTTTTATGTTTTTTTGTTGCTGACACTCTGTTGGTGCACACCACGTGATGCCTGTTAATATATTTGTTAGTATGAGAAAATAATACTCTGTGAAGATGATGATTTATGTCTTGGCAGCTGCCCGATTTGGCAATTGGCTGTCAAATAATATGATGCACACTACTTTAAGTCTCACAAAATGAGATCTGAGGTGACACCCCGGGGTCCCTGACAGACTAACAAGGAGCTATACACCACTTTATGTACTGTAAAGTATTGCACTTTTTTGTATCGCCTCCTGAGACCTGAACTTTGTTTGGTATGCATTTTTAATTCCTCCTAGCTATTTGGGATCAGTAGGACCGGATAAGTATAAAAAAGTAAACATTGTCAATAATAATTAAGTCCCAGTGTCTTCAAACGAGACGATAATGAAGTCGTAATGTCTTCATAAGAGCACTTTGTTGCTATATCAAACTCCAAATATTATTAATCATAAATAAACAAGTTTCAACCATAAAATGTGATCAGGTTTTGGATCCTGTCCACTTTTGTGTCAGGATCGTCTGCAGACTGACTTGGCAGAGACGGCTGCCATCTTGTTTTCACATGGATCAGTGTATTGTGCTCTTACTACCACTAAATGGCACATAAAAGTGTCCACGAATGAGGACAACAGGTCTAAGTTCAATAGAAGTATAAGGTCAAGTAACCCCAAAATGTGATGTCGTTACATGAGGACACAGGCTCTCAGGAGGATAGTGCAGACAAGGAAACATTCTTTTAAGAATTACACAAACCACTTCAGGTGAGGCAGTGTGTGTGTGTGTGTGTGTGTGTGTGTGTGTGTGTGTGTGTCTCCTGATGCCATACAGATCTATTTAGAGTCCAAAATGAGCCGCATGCCTGAGTCAAGTCCTGTCACGCTTTCAGCACCTTGGACAGCTCTATTAGTTTCATCTGCATAACAAACCACCCATCAGCACCAAGGACAGCTTCTGTCAGCGTGTTGCTGCCTGAATAAGAGGAATCCTGGCTCTCACAGCCCAGTTGGTTTGACAATGAATAAATAAATAAATAAAAACAAATACATAAATACTGTCATCCCTCCTTAAAACGCAGCTGATTACCTTACTGTTTATTTTGTACTTTAATTAATTGTTTGACTGAATGAGGTTAAGTAGCCCGTGCCAGATGATATATTTATATTTTGGCAGCATGCACAATTCTTTTTATGATATATGTGTTTTTCCAAGTCTTTTGACATTTTTTGAAACCACTCCAGAAAGAGTATCCTGAGGTTTGCATTGTCCTTTGTAAGGTGCTCTGGTACCCATTTCAATATCCTTATATAAGTATGCTAATGCCGCTGCTTTGGTGGGGTGTAACTTCTTTTCCAAGGACTCCTTGAGGGGATGTTTGAGAAAAAATATGTGTTCATAATATAAAATACAAAATGGTAGCCTATCCCACACTGTCTCATAAATTACTTTGATACTGCTGTTACACTTTCACTTTGCAATTTCTCTCCTCCTCTCCCTCTCTCGATCTGTAATGGTGAGTTTCGGATTGCTTTAAATGCTACTTTAAAAGACAGCAGGCAAGGAAATCAAGATAAGAAATATAAAAAAAAAGAAATGCATAAATTACAATTAGTGCTTGTTAGGACTTTGTGCGTGACATGAATGACAAGAGCAAAGTAGGTCCAATGTCCTCGGCAGCATTGTTCTGTCTTCTGTTTTGACTGACCCAAGGACACATCTGCCAGGTTTCTATTTTCAGGTGTGTACAGTGTATGCTGAAGATATTTTTAATATGAGCTAAATCTCATATGTTGTTATCGTCACTGAAAAAATGAGGAGAACAATTTTCATACAATACAGCAACACAGTGGCTTACAAAATAAAAAAGAACCCAACGTGCAGTGTTTTTTTAATGTCCTCTCCTTATCCAGTGGAAATGTTATTGTCAAACAAGCAAAGAGAAATATAATTAATTGATCTCATTTTAACATGAAAACCCACCAGCGTGAATGCTGAAGGGGGAAAAATGAGCAGCAAGGAGAGTGGCAGGTGCAGTGGAAACAAGCAGGTGCCTGCAGAGTCGTCATCTTGTCATGGCGCATTAGCCCAAATTCCCCTATGAACATTTATACCACAAGCATACAGGCAGTGAACATGCTGCATTATCACCTTTACAGTCCCATGAGGCGACAGCTATGGTTAACTGTAGCACTGGGTTTTTTTTCGTCGCATGTTTGTGGCCTTATAAACTCAATCACTCAGAGCGACAACCAGCCATTGTCTGGTTCCTGTTTTTTAAATATTAGTTATTAAAATGCAACTGTGGCAATCAAAGTTGATTGCAGCTGTTGCCGCCTAAGTGTGACATGCATGGAAGATGAGCTGTGTCTGATTTGAAAACACCATCGTGTGTTTATTTGTGGCAAGTGAGGCTCAGCGTAGGTTAATCATCTTAAGAAAATTGACAGATGCTTCATCAGGCATTCGGCACTCCTCAAAGCAGAGTGAACCAGCAAGCACTGCCTAATATGGTATAAATAAAGAGAGGAGGTCTCCTAGTGTTTAGCTCTTATAACCAGTTTGCAGTGCACATTCCTTGGCTATACTGTACCTCATTGACTGTGGACATAGGTTTTACAAGCCAAACTGGGAACTCATGACAGTAATATACTCACCAGCCACTTTATTAGGCACACCTGTTCAATTGCTTATCATTGCAAATAGCTAATCAGCCAATCATGTGGCAGCAGCTCAGTGCATTTAGGCATGTAGACATGGTCAAGACGACCTGCTCAAGTTCAAACTGAGCATCAGAATGGGGAAGAAAGGTGATTTAAGTGACTTTGAACGTGGCATGGTTGTTGATGCCAGACAGGCTGGTCTGAGTATTTATTGGGATTTTAACACACAACCATCTCTAGGGTTTACAGAGGATGGTCTGAAAATGTCTTGTTGGTGCCAGAGGTCAGAGGAGATGACAGAAAGGCAACAGTAACTCAAATAACCACTCGTTACAACCAAGGTCTGCAGAAGACCATCTCTGAAGGAACAACACGTCCAACCTTGAAGCAGATGGGCTATAGCACCAGATGACCACACCAGGTGCCACTCCTGTCAGCTAACAACAGGAAACTGAGGCTACAGTTCACACAGGCTCACCAAAACTGGACAATAGAAGATTGGAAAAACATTGCCTGGTCTGATGAGTCTGGATTTCTGCTGCCACATTCAGATGGTAGGGTCAGATTTTGGCGTAAACAACATGAAAGCATGGATCCATCCTGCCTTGTATCAACGGTTCAGGCTTCTGGTGGTGGTGTAATGGTGTGGGGGAGATTTTCTTGGCACACTTTGGGCCCCTTAATACCAACTGAGCATGGTTTTAACACCACAGCCTACCTGAGTATTGTTGCTGACTTTGTCCATCCCTTTATGACCACAGTGTACCCATCTTCTGATGGCTACTTCCAGCAGTTTAACGCACCATGTCACAAAGCTCAAATCATCTCAAACTGGTTTCTTGAACATGACAATGAGTTCACTGTACTCCAGTGGCCTCCACAGTCACCAGATCTCAATCCAATAGAGCACCTTTGGGATGTGGTGGAACAGGAGATTCACATCATGGATGTGCAGCCGAGACATCTGCAGCAACTGTGTGATGTCATCATGTCAATATGGACCAAAATCTCTGAGGAATGTTTCCAGCACCTTGTTGAATCTATGACACAAAGAATTAAGGCAGTTCTGAAAGCAAAAGGGGGTCCAACCAAGTACTAGCAAGGTGTACCTAATAAAATGGCCAGTGAGTGTAGTTCTCGTACACACTTTGCACATGCGAGAATTTTCAGTTTTGCAGCATCATTGTTTGATGCCAATAAATCCCACACACTGGACTTTTAATTAATATGGCTGTGATACTTACACAATTATATTTATCTGTATTTGTTTTAGCAGTTTTATGATTATTGAAGTTAAAACACTGTGAGTATGAGCTAAGTGAATAGCAGAGAAGAGTAATCTCCAATCCCTCCTACATGCAATTTTTCAATTTTATATCACTGTATAGATTTTCTGCATATCCACAGCTTTGGAAATAGAATTGCAAATTTAGGCCTTCCTCATTATAAACTGGTCTAAACAGATGCACACACCCATACACACATACAGTACAGGCCAAAAGTTTGGACACACCTTCTCATTCAATGCGTTTTCTTTATTTTCATGACTATTTACATTGTAGATTCTCACTGAAGGCATCAAAACTATGAATGAACACATGTGGAGTTATGTACTTAACAAAAAAAGGTGAAATAACTGAAAACATGTTTTATATTCTAGTTTCTTCAAAATAGCCACCCTTTGCTCTGATTACTGCTTTGCACACTCTTGGCATTCTCTCCATGAGCTTCAAGAGGTAGTCACCTGAAATGGTTTCCACTTCACAGGTGTGCCTTATCAGGGTTAATTAGTGGAATTTCTTGCTTTATCAATGGGGTTGGGACCATCAGTTGTGTTGTGCAGAAGTCAGGTTAATACACAGCCGACAGCCCTATTGGACAACTGTTAAAATTCATATTATGGCAAGAACCAATCAGCTAACTAAAGAAAAACTAGTGGCCATCATTACTTTAAGAAATGAAGGTCAGTCAGTCCGGAAAATTGCAAAAACTTTAAATGTGTCCCCAAGTGGAGTCGCAAAAACCATCAAGCGCTACAACGAAACTGGCACACATGAGGACCAACCCAGGAAAGGAAGACCAAGAGTCACCTCTGCTTCTGAGGATAAGTTCATCCGAGTCACCAGCCTCAGAAATCGCAAGTTAACAGCAGCTCAGATCAGAGACCAGATGAATGTCACACAGAGTTCTAGCAGCAGACCCATCTCTAGAACAACTGTTAAGAGGAGACTGCGCGAATCAGGCC